TTTTTATTCAAGATTCCTCAATCTGCTGAAGACTGGGCAGTGTAGCCAAGGCAGCCAGCTCTGAGTTCCTTCCCCTTCATGCTGCGCTTTCAGCAGCCTGCAGCTGTTTGTTCTGTGAGCCAAGCCAAGCAGAGGGACAGCAGCTGCTCCTGGGAAGTCTCCCTCCACACGCGGCCAGCAGGCTCTGTGCCAGGCTGTTCCAGGGTGCAGCGTTCCCCAGAGTTGCTTTTGCTTCTCCTCTCTGCCCAAAGGAACAGGCAATGGGAAGAATGACAACGCCTGCAGACTACCAGCTACAGCATTCCAGTCAGTGTTATGAGAAGTCACAACATTGAAAGAGAACTGATTTTCTGCACTTCCCACAGGAATCTGCCGGGCAGCTGAACATGATCACTCCATGAGGTGTGCCACAGTGCTGCCATCACTGCACTCACCGTACGGATCATCCCTCGTGGTGATGCCCATCAGCTCTGACGTCTTCGGCACGCTGCTGTCTACTGCTGGGACCTGCAGTGGCTGCTCAGCCTCCTGCCGCTTCCTTCGTAAGTACTTCTTGCAGTCCTCCTCTGCAAAGACACAACACCAAGCCGTGAGTGTGCTTCTATGCTACAGGGTCCTTTACAACCTTCACGACAGGAAATTTCCCTATTTTACACATCAGTGATAGTAGAGGGTAAAACCCTGCTGGGTTTTTTGGTACCTATCTGTGCACCTGTTAGCCTGGAATCTACCCAGCACCTTCTTGAACCTCTTGATGCTGCATCAACCATCTCCTCCAGCAGGGACAAGTAAAATTCCAGCATGCCCCCGGAACAGGCTTCCGGAGCAGCTATCAGAAACCTCTTTTAGCTCGGGCAGAGCAGATGGCACGCATCACTGTCAAATAACTGAGGGTGCCGTATTTGTTGCTGTGAATTTTCCATGTGGGACAGTGATGTACACTGAGCTATTACAAACAGATCTTGTTTAAAAACGACTGACAAATCTAACAGTAAAGTCTTCGGAGAACTGAAAAGCAATCCCACAGGCTCTGCTACTCTGCAATCCACAGTCACAGAAGAACTGAAAGTAAATGGAACTGAAAGTAAATGGAGATTTGAAACCGGCAAAAGAATGCTCAAACTCCTGCCTGTCTGCTACTTTACTTAAGGTTCAAACACACTAAAACAAAAACAAACAAGCACCAACCAGTCAGAATTAGTCTGAAGCAGCTGCAGAGGTCGCTGGTACAGCAGCACAGAGCAGAGCAAAGCCTGGAAGTGCAGACATGGGTGGGGAACACTCCTGCCACCCAGCCCTACCCATACCCTGAATGCTGCAGGGAGCCCAGCTCCTGAACCCCATCTCTGCTTCTGTCTCACATCTCCGTGCCCCACAGCTGGATTACCAGGTGTCAGGGCTGAGCAGGGATTTTCCTGAGGCATAATCCAATCTGCCTCTCTTCCCTCTTCTTTCTCAGTTGTTCAGCAGTGAGAAGAACCAGCTGCATTCTTCTCCCTGTTGCAAAATGCCTGACATGAGTTTTTCTAGCTTGGTCCCCAGACTCCTCACCACCCCACTCAAGGCTGAAACACACTCACTAAGTTAAATGCTTGCTTAGTTCATCCAGACCAGCCAACGTGCACAGATTTTTGATGGTATCATACCATAATCCCACATCTCACATATTCCTATAGGATAAACCTGAGCCCACAATCCAGCCTGAAGGAATGACAGACTTCCAGTGCCTAGGCATGGATTAGTCCCCAGCCTGACCACGTACAGCTTAACAACAAGAGGCAAAAACAACTCTAAAAGCCCACAAAGCAGAAGCCAGTTGAGAAGCAAGAAGCTCCTCCACACTGAGAAGTCCCACTGAGCATCTACCAAGGTAGTGAAGGCCTTATATTGAGCAGTTGAGCAAAAGCCTGAAGTACTGGAGAGAAAGAATAAAACCATGATATTCTCTGACTCTGTGTGCCTATGAGAAGAGAGAAAGCATACCCTGTACCTCAAGCAGGAACTCAGCACTTTTGTAATTGGTCAGGAAGAAACAAAAACCACTGTTTCAGCAGGAAACAGCACAAACTTACCAAAGCAAAGAGTTTTACATACCTAAACATGATTGTATAACGAAATAAGCTGATGAGAAAAATCAGACTTAAAGCAGATGTGCAAGGATTGAAAAGTTGCATCTTTCAAGCCCTCATGCTCCAAAGTTTGTAACAGGGGAGCTGTACTATAAACGTAACCCTGTGGTACTGATGGCTGTGACACTACACAAGGCTACAGGAGACACCATTTTTTAGCATCCTAAACATTTAGCAGGGCCACACAGCAAAAAACGGAGCATGTGATGAAAAAAGAAGGAACTGGTTCTGAAGTGAAAACCACAAACTGAAAGCAGTATCCTTTGGAGCTGCACAGCATCATCAAGTAGCGTTCAACAGAGACATCTTGAGGCCTTCCAAGATACCTCTGTGGGGGCCACTGAAACGTGCCCCAGATCTGCACCTCCTGTAATGGAAGCACAGACCACAGAAATCTCAATGCTGATGTTTTAATCCCCAAGCCTAAGTCCTAATGGTGCAAACAAAGACAACTTTGGCAATGGGAAATAACATGCACCCGAGTTTATGCAACCATTCCTTTTCTTTCCTCTTACAAGCATAAGTATCTCTGAAGTCTACAAGAGCTCGGAGCACTGGCAACAGCTTGCAGGCCCACAGTCCTCAGCCAAAAATAATGAGGACATGGCCGCACTGGATCAGGCTGCAGGTCCCTCTAGCATCCTGTCCCACATAGTGGTTGAGAACCAGTAGAGACTGTAAGTATCAAATAAGCATGCAGCAATACTTTTCCCAAATAATTTATCTTTTGGGTATTATTAACCACCTATTTTTAAAACCTATCTTTCAGACCACTTCCAGTTCAGGCATTTCCGGAATCTGACAGTATTTTAGAGTATTTTCCTTCCAAGAATTTATCTGCCTCCTCTTATCAGCGTGACCCACAGCCAGGCTAAACTTGCAACTGGAGCTCCAGCTCCTCCCACTCTGCTCAGGGTCTGAAAGAGCTCATCCACAGGTCCCAAACTCAGGGCCAGAAGCAGCTTCAGGGGTGCACAACGCATTGTGAAGCTCCAGCTCCCTCCCACAGCTGGCAGCTTATGCTCTCGATGAGGATCACAAAACACGTGAATGTTTACTATTTTTTCCCCCAAAAAAGTCTTCAGAGCATTCTTCATTTGGGAGAGCTGCAGGAGTTCAGGCATATCTTTGGTCCTTGCTCAGAGATGCACTCCTATACCTTCAGTCCTCACAGTAACAGGAAATGAGATTGGTTGTTTCTTCACCAGACCCAGGTAACGCATGGCCTCAGAGTCACCTCGTTTTGGAAACGCCTGGGCAAGGAAGTTCCCTTCTTACTGCAGTTCTGAGAGCTGCCTTCCCTGTGAAGCCCTGTGACCACGAAGAATACAAAGAGCTTACAAGGAACAAGTTACAAGAACAGCTGTGGGATCTCCACATTTATTGTTGTGTGCTGATTCCATCTCAGTGTGCAAGGAAATTAATTCCTCTCCTGTTATTCACATTCACAAGGCACCTCCGGATCTCCACACCAACATCTCTGGATTTTCCTGGAACATCAATGCGAGCCTCCTCCTGGCCCACCTTCTCAAGAGCATCTTTGATGTGCAGAAATCCCAGTAGCGGAGTTCCAGGCACTCCATAAGGTCATTAAGCTTGGAGAAGATCACTAAGATCACCGAGTCCAACCCCAACCCATCACCGATATTGCCCACATCCGTCCCTCAGAGCCACACATCTCCACTGTTCGTTAACACCTCCAGGGACGCTGACCGCATCACCTCCCTGGGCAGCCCGTGCCAGTGCGTTCCCACTATTTTCGAGAAGAAATTCTTCCCGATATCCAACCCGAACCTCCCCTGGCACATCGCCTCGCCGTTCCCCGGGAGCACAGGCCGACCTGACCTCACCACAACTCCCGCCAGGAGCTGCAGAGCGGTGCTCTCCCCCCCCCTCCCGCAGCCTCTCCCCGGTCCCTCCAGGCCCCGAACCCGCACCGCCCGAGCGCCGTCGCTGCCGGTGCTCACCCACGCTGCCGGCCAGCTCCAGCAGCACGTCGTGCCGGCCAAGCTGCCGCAGGAGCTCCAGCAGTTGACCCACGGTGGCTCCGCCGGGACTGCGGCTCTGCCACTCGTCCAGCAGCGCGGCCGTAGGGTCCGGCAGCGCCTCCAGCCGCCGGATCTCCAGGTAGTCGCAGCCCAGCTCCTCCGCCAGCGCCGTCCAGTCGGCCGCGGTCGCCGCCCGCGGGTTGAGGTAAAGGCCGAGGCGGCGCCGCACGCCGTAGTTGAGGGCCACCATGGGCACGGCGTGCAGATCCGCCGGCTCGGGGCCGGGAGCGGAGCCCGCACCCACGGGTACCGTAGCCATGGCCGCGCCGCTCTCTCGACTTCCCCCGGCGCGGCCCTTTCGCTTCCCGCTTCTCTCCGCCTCCTCGCCGGGTGCCGCCCGCCTCCCGCTGGGGGCGGCGCCTTGAGCGCCTGGCCGCGGGGTGCGAGTTGGAGGGGGCTCGATGCCACCCGGCCTCAACAGTGGCCCTGGGCAGAGGCGCCTCCCCCGGTTCGGGCAGCCCCTGCAGGCTGGCCCTGAGCATCGTTGCACGTCGTTGAACGTCATTGCGGTCTGCAGCTCCCTGAAGGGAGGTTGTGATGAGGAGGGGTTTGGCCTCTTCTCCCAAGCAACAACCAGGACCCGAGGAAATGGCCACAAGTTGTACCAGAGGAGCTTTAGGTTGGACATGAGGAGAAACTTTTTCTCTCAGAGGGTGGTCAGGCGCTGGAATGGCTGCCAAGGGAGGTGGTGGAGTCGCCATCCCTGGCAGTGTTCAAGAGGTGCCTGGAGGAGGAGCTGCGAGATATGGTTTAGTTTGTGGTAGCAGTGGTGATGAGAAGATGGTTGGACTAGATGATCTTGCAGGTTATTTCCAACCTTGTGATTCTATGATTCTATGACCTCCAGGGATGGGGCACCCACGGCTCTCTGGGCAGCAGTGCCGGGGCCTCAATGTCCTTTAGTGAAGAGTTTCCTCCTAACATCCAATCAACCTACCTTCTTTTAGTTTAAAGCTGTAACCTGTGGTCCTATTACTTTCACGTAGTCTCTTTAGGTACTGGAAACATGCTGCAAGGTCTCCCTGGAGTAATGATCACATCACATTGCTTGTTTTCTTCTCATAAAAACCATAAAATCACCAAGGTTAGAAAAGACTTACAGGATCATCCAGTCCAACCATCCGTTGGTTCTTTTTTCAATGCAGTCCTGAATCTATCTACCTGCTTCAAGTGTTCATAGATGTAGCAGCACTTTGGTGCTGTTCTTTACTAAGGAGGTCCAGATGGATCTCTAGTGGTAGTTAATTTCCAGGACCAAGCCCCTTCCAATGAGAGGAGTCTGCCTCTGTGGCTGAGGAGTTCAGATATGGGCTCTCCACCTATGCTCCATGACAGCACAGCTGTCTCCCTGTTCTCTGACTCTTCAATTCTGCAGGAAATCAAAATGCTTGAAGTGGCTGCATGACTGTTTTAGACCGGTCACTGGTGCTGAGTTGAACAGTTTCCTGCTTCCATGCTGGTACCAAAAGCAGCCCAGGTACTGCAGTGACTCTAGACCAGTTTCAAAAAGCGTATTGTTTCTTCAAAGTACTACAGACAACACAGTGCCCTCTGAAGTCTCACTGTACTTCTGGATCTCTGTTGCGTCGGTGAAAATGAGGAAGATAAAATACTCCAGTCGTAGAAGCTTTCAGACCAATAGCACTTCTGAGGTTGTGCTCAGGCAGCCTAAGAACTCATAGCAACAGCTTCAGCACCAAAGTGAAAATGCAGGATCCAATCAGTGCTCATACACAACCTCCAAATATCTGCTTGCACTTGTGTCCACAGGAACACTGAAAGAGGCAGATCCCTACTTTAGTGTTGCCAAACTTCAAATAGACTGGCTCTTACATTTGCATCTCCAATGGCAGATGCTCCCATTGGGCTCTTCTCTGGCCTTCATCACATATATTTCTTGAGAGAAAAATAATCTATCTCTCTTTCCTTGTGCTGCACTGCTCTGTGTGCAGGTCTTCTCCTGCCCTTGGGGTGAGGACTTCTTCCCTGCTGCAAATGAAAGAGGAACAGTGAGATATTTCCTGATGCTGAAGAGTAAAGGTCTGGTCACAAAGCTGGACACAAATAGCCTTGGCATGCAGTATTAAAGAAAAAGATGTGCATGTGGCTCATCTACACCCCCCCCCCAGATGAGAAGCAAAAAGAAGGGGTGACCTGACAGGCCCAGTTCTTCTCTTGGACTTGGGAAACCTGGTTTTCCAGTAAGATGTGGGCTTGTATTTCCAACCCACGCTCAGTACTGGGGGATTAAGTGGGGAGGTTCTTCCACAGTGTGGCAATGAAAGGTGCAACTCCTGATTAAAGGAGGAACTTCTGGGATTTAAGTTCCATCACTGCCTCAAATGATTAGATAATCTTTAGAAGTTCCTTCCAGCCCCTACAATTCTGTGATTCAAAATAGTGCCTCACTGAGAGGTTCCTTCACAGAGTCTTTTCTCTGACCTGTGATGTGTTCTTAAACAAAGTAGCTGTAATCCAGGCCCCTCAATAGCATGACTGAAAGCAGAAGTCTTCTTCAGCAAAACTTTCCACTCGTGTCAAAGGAAGACTGTCTGAGAACTTTGGTACCACACCTTGGAATTAAAACCTGAAATGGAGATGTTTCATTCTTCACTGAATATTGCCTAACAACTAAATTTGAGCCTCCAGAAAATACCTTTATTCAGGAGGATGCATAAGGGAGGCAAAAAAAAACCAAACCAACCAACCCACCCTTGCATATGCAACCAGTGATTACATTCACTTCCTTCTCTTCCTCCTGTACTTACAGAGCACTTTCATTCCTTACCCATCCCCAAGAAAAGCAGCCCAGTCAGCAGATGTAAGTCTGACACGTGCTTGATGTGTCACAGGATCCAGATCTTCATCTGTCCCCATTCTAAAAGGCAGATCCACCCAAAAAACAAAATCCAAGGACCAGTCCCTGAATTTACTTGGTACCTCCAGTGTGGATACACTCAAGTGTGATAGGAAGTCAGCTGGTTTTACTTCTACCTCATGCACAGACTGGGAACTGAGCACCAGCCCTGGCTTCCTTCTGTCCCTCTGAATCAGGTGGTGTTTAGCCCAGCAGAGGCTTTCAGAGATCACCCATGCATGCTGTGGGGTACCAGGGCTGGCAGGGCCTGGAGGGCAGGGAAGGATGCTGTGAAGGACAAGCTCTCCCTGCCCTGCTGACTTGATAGGGCTGATGGGAGAAAGCAGCATTTAAATATCTATCATTTCCAAGCAGTTGCTATACCTGGTGTTATGTACAACCAGTCTTTTAGCACAATGATACCCTCAAGCTGTGGTTGGACATAGTCATGGGAGTCCAGGCCTTGTTGATTTCCAAACCCTCCTAATGTTCCAAGTGCTCACAGGCCTCTGGCTGATGTGTCTGCTGCACTCAGGGGATGTCACAGCTGGCTATTCTCCCACTTGGGAGAGAGTGGCACTGTTCAGTGCCCAAGGGCTGTGGATATCTGCTCCTTTTATGCCCTGTAGTTCTGGAACCCTCAGCTGGATGCAATTGCCCTGCAAAAAGAACCAAAGAGATAGGATCCATTCAGCAGTGCTCTGTATGTTCTTCCCAGCAAGGATCTTCCTTAACAGCAAAGAAAGCAGCTCAATTTCCAGGTAAAGAACCTGGTGCATTACAGCCTCACTTACCTCTGTCAATTATCAACCCCTTCTGTTAAACCCTCTACCCAGAATTAGTGTCTGAATGCAGAGACACAAAGGCTGAGGCTTCCCTCCCAAGCTCACACTGCAGACAGTGGATGAAAACAGAGGTGCTTTTTGGGTACAGTTCACTTGCCTTGCTTAGGACTAGGCAAGATGAAGCCTACTTTTCTTTCCAGTGACTGATGGAAACTAGGATGACTAGCTTAGCTGCACACCTCTGCACTTGGCTGGATGAACCTTGCTTCCCCAAGAATCTCTCCCATTAACTATATATGAAGACAAAGCTGGCAAGCAGGGGGACAGGGTGCAAACATGTAGCCCAGTATGGGAACAACGGCTAAACAGAGAGAGAGGATATTTATGAGCCCCCACCACTTGCAGAGAGTCAGAGAAGTCACAGAGAAGTTTAATCAAGCACATCCTGAGGTGAGCACTACTTTTGGTCTCTTTGGTCACTTCTGAGTTCTTCAAGAAGCTGCTCTGTGCTCAAGGAAATGAGTGTATGATAGTGATGGGCTGTGGTTGTTAACAGGAAGAAATACTGATGAAACAGAACACACAGACCAACTGCAGGGAGGGTGCACACAGCACCGACTTCTTTGGGGACTGCAGCAGACTGTGAACATCAGATCTTCATACACAATGGTGAGAAACCAGCCTGAATGCTGGCAAAGTGATTAAAGAGCTGTTTTGACAGCAGTGTCCGCACAGCAGATTGATCTCCGGTCGCTGAAATTCTCTGCTTTGCTGCACTATTCACAGTAAGACACACAAAGAAAACTTACAGTGCCATCATCATCCGGACCTTCTTTAATCACATTAAACTTTCTGTTGTCCTTTGGGTGGTTGCTAATACCAGCACTGTATAACCAGGTGCCTTAATTGCTGAGAACATTGTAATCCACCTTGAGAACAAACAAAGAAAACAGTAAGATGGGCTGGCCCTTGGTGAAGCTTCTCCCCACATCCACCCCTGCCTCAAGTGGAGAAGTCCTTGCATGGGAAGCAGGGTGGCTTAAACCCAACATCAGCTTTCCAGCTGTAGGGCAATCCAAACCTATCTTGGGAGGGGTGTAGCAGCGATAGCAAACAGGGTGTGAGATCCCTGTGCATTCCTAGGAGAGGTGACTGCAGTGAGAAAGCACAGAGCTGGCAGCAGGAAGTTTGCAGGCACATCACGAAACAGGGTCAGTGCTGTTCTCTCTCTTCACTGCAACAACAAAGCCTCAAAGCAATGTTTCTAAAATCTCAGCCACCCCTCAAATCAGGGAGCTTGCCACCCTCAGATGGCAGAAGGCTTTTCCATCAGGCAGATGGCATTTCCTTAGGGCCTGACCCCACAAATTAAATCATAGCTGAGATGTTCTCTGCTCAGGGCACCAGCAGCATCTGGCCTTTTCCTTGGCTTCAGTGAGTTGTAGAGAGCTTGCTTCAGTGTCCCTGCCTGGTGTAGGTGACAAACACTCTCTTCTTCAAAGGCACATACAAACCCTCTGTGGGCATGTGGTGAAAGAACCAAATATGGAAAATGCATTGGTTTCCTTTTTATTTGGCAAGTGAACTCAGTTTAAGTTCTGTGATAGTCTCCACCATTCTCTATATGTTCTCCTCCATCAAACCGATGTCTTCCTTACACTAGCCTGGAGATCCCAGCAGGTTAAAGAAACAGCTCTCCAATGACATACGAACATGACACAAACTGAAAGGAAGAGACAGAAGGACACAAGGATCAGTCTGTGCTTCCCAAATAGAGTGCCAAATTCTGCTTCCAGCAAAGCTTCTAATGTTCATGCCTGTATGAATAAAGGTAAGGTACCCAGGGAGCAACTTTACAGTGCAAGATCTTCCAGATCTCCTTCATGTGAGGAACAGGACCTACAATCTCCCATGACCCCTTGAATCTGACTACAAATCTCCCATTCAAGGAAGGCAAGGCTGCCTGCCTGTCAGAGCAATGCCTTGATTGCTGACTCCCAGCTCTTAATCACTGTTAGCTTTGAGTAAGAGGCTTGCCTTGACAGTGCTCAGGCTGGCCTCACGACAGCATGAAGTCACCTCTGGAACCACAGCTGATAGATGCCATCAAAAGCCAAGCATTATGAACCATTCAAAATGGCCCTAGCGACTCACTCTACACATCTGGCACACACACATATATGTTTGTGCATGTGTGTGTGTGCACCTCAGCAGTGCTGCACCTTTCTTCTGGACAGCCAACATGCGTCACACACACACAAGGCACGCAAGCTGGAGGAGCTGGATCATCAATACTGACATGCAGCACCTGCTGGGCAATTCCTTGCTATGGAGCACAGGGCATGCAAGGCATCTGAATCTGCACAATAAGTGTTCTAAAGTAAACATTCCCCACCATGGATTTTAGCTAGCATATGAAGAACAGTGCTGCTGATCTTCTGAAAGTCTCTTGTGTCACGTGCTGGGTTTTGTTGCTGTTACTTGGAAAACCATTCCTGCACAGACCTACCAGCCCTGCTTTCTAAAGGATGCTGGATGAGTGCTGATCACACTGTGTTACTGTACCAGCCCACCACTGCTCACAGCATGGGTGTGTGTCACAGCAAGGGTAACAACACCCCAGGTCTCTGCTGCCAAAGCCATTTCAGACCCTCCCTCCAAGAAGCTCAAAAAAGTTACATTAATAACAATGGCTCATTTAATTGCATGTAGGATGGCTTTCTTTGTAGCTCCAGTCACTCCAGTGAGTGAAAAGTTCCCTGAATACCAGTGGCTTCTTGTATCCAACAGACAAAATCTTCCAATGTAAAGCTTGTTATAGTATCGTGTCTTCTTCAATCTGCACTCCTCAGTCTGGTGAGGAAGATTTGCAGATTCACCTCCTCAGCCCATTTTCACAACTCAGTTTGGTGCTGATGGTATCTCCATCGCATCAGCAGAGATTATGGCAGTCAAGAAAAGAAACCCAGCACTGCACTCCCACCCATGCCTCTGAACTGGGCACTGTCAGCCTGTGTACACCTTCCTGGAAAGAAGCTTTTGGGGCCAAGACCAAGGGAGCAGCCCAGCTATTAAGTGAGGCTTTGGCTGCTGAGTGGCATACTGGAAACTGGTGCTGCAGCTGACAGGGAGGGCTGTGACTCACCAGAACACAGGAAGATGCCTCCAGCCTGGGTGGAGCAGCCTGGAAGCTGAGCCAGCTTTTGTCCATGCTAGTCTGTTCTTGATTAGATGACTTCCCCAGTCCAGAGTGATCCATGAAAAGATGTGCCAACACTGGCTTCAGTGGCCAGAACACATTTTTTATGTTTTATTTCTGGGTTCTCCTCCTTCCCAGCCTCTGGGTGAGCAAATTGGAGCATTATTAACAGAATTTATGTTTGAAAGTTGTCTCAATTGTGACAGATCTTTTTTTTTTTAAAAAAAAAAAAAATAGGAGAAGGTTTGCAGTAATAATAATAATTCCAAAATTCCCAGCTACATTTTGGTTGTTGGCAGCTTCACTGTGGCAAAACTCCCTTTGGTTACACAAGCATGGGAGGTACATGTAACACAAGCTCTATACCCATGCACTTATATTAACCTGAAAAATCACTGATGATAGTCTGTGCCCTTATCAGGCAGAGCTATCATCCCATCCATCTCTCAGGGCAGAGAGCAGAAACAACTCCAGGCACACAGCAGGTTCAATCCCACCACAGGTACTCAAACCTCTCAGCTCTCACCCTCCAGTCCAGACCCAGATGAGAAAGACCTAACATTCAGACCACAGGGCTAAGAACAAAATATGGTTGAGAGGTGACCAACAGCTGAGAAGGATGAATTGGACAAATCTGAGGGCTTGTGCCTGGAAAGCAAAGATTTTTGTGTGTTGGTAAGGGAGAGATTTATCGTGGTTGTGTGTGAAGGACAGAGGGCATCTAGAAGTGTTGTATGCTTAGATGTGGGCAGGTAAATCACATGGAGAACAGCTTAGCCAACACAGATGCTAGCTGCAGGGTTTCCTAACCATATGGAGTAGGTATCTGTTGCTATGCTGAGAGTTCAGGCCCCATTTCATGTGTAGGGACCCTGAATCCCACATTTCACTGAATCCCACTCTGGTTCCTATGCAGTGTGCAGCAGAAAGAATATCCAGTCTTGGGATTCACTCTGCTGGTTCAGTTCCTGCTCTGTCCCAGACTTCCTAGTGAACTTGGGCAAGCCCTGATGCCTGGATTCTCTTATTTCCCCCACTGCAAGACTGTCCCTTTTCTCACCAAATACAGAGATCCATACAAAGCTCTCAATGAGAAAATCCTTTGCCATACTTCAGGGGCACACATCAAAGGCAATCCCACCGTAACAGTTCAAACACAGCCCTAAAACACAAGGCTGATCAGGTACAGTGCCTGATTTAGGGATTTGTTACCACAGCACCCATCAACACCGTAAGCTGTATTTACAAAGAGCATTTTCACATAGCTTTCCCATCATCCCATTTCTTGCCCTGAGCCTACCTAGCTTGCACATAGATGACTACTACGAGAGCAAACTTTGCATGAATCACTTGCAGAGCTTTTCTTACCTCTAGTGCAAGGGCAGTATTTCAGGAAGCCTCTTTCTGATCCCTCCTCACTGGGACATAATTCTGCACAGAGCAGAGCGAGGACCTGATTCAGCTTCACGCTTCTGTAGGAGCCATTATGTCAGCACATTCCTGGGAGCAGCAACTTCTGCAAGGGACTTCCAGGCACCTTTCAAAAGTCATCTAACTCATGAGATCAAGTGCTGGTTCTGCAGAAAAGAGACTGTTTTATATAATATAATATAAAAGTGACTTTATATAGCAGCCCTTCTTGTACAGTGATGGCACCTTAGCTGCAGAGACCTGTTTCATCTATCTGGTAAATGGGAAATACTCTGCTCAGCCGTTGTTTCTGCTTACAAGATCTTTCTCAAAATCCTGACTGCAAAAGAGGACGCTGCCCCAGTATGCTAAAAAATTCATGCTGAAATTCTATGAGATCCTCAGTGCAGCCAGCAAGTCCTGTGCTTCTCTGTGCAATTGATTCTAGTGCCTGAGACCTCGACAGCTTATTTTTACAGTTATTTATCACTTTAAAAATACTTAGATCACCATGATAACCCACCTGCAGGCAGCGGAAAAAACAAGTGTGTTGTCCTCTCTTGAAACCTCCTTTCTTCTTAATTCACTTTGAAGAAGGAAAAAAAGACAATTGTACACATAAACAGCATAAAGAGGTCAATATTCATAGAACAGTTCAGGTCAGAAGGGACCTTTAAGATCATGTAGTTCCAACTCCCTGCTAGAGGCAGGGACACCTCCCTCTAGACCAGGCTGCTCACAGCCCCGTCCAGCCTGGCCTTGAATTCTTCTGAGAGGGGACATCCACAGACTCATTGGGAACCTGTTCACTGTCTCACCACCCTCATAGTAAAGAATTTCTTCCTAATATCTAGTCTAAATCTAAAAGTACTAAAAGCATTTCCCCTTGTCCTGTAACATTATTGTATATCTAATTTGAATTGTAATTGAAAGTAAGTGTTTTGGTGAGAATTACTGGCCATTTTCTGCCTGTTCTCCACAAACCAGCATGCTGTTTGACACATTGCAAGTGTAATAAACAGGTATGAAAACACAGTTCCACATTTACACAGTCTGTTTTGGATCTCTTTCTAAAGTCTAGCACTAAGCCAGGCTCTAACATGAAGCTGCTTCTCCGTAATGGCTCCTTGCTGAAGTCACAGAATCGTAGAATGGTCTGGGTTGAAAAGGACCACAATGCTCATCCAGTTCCAACCCCCTGCTGTGTGCAGGGTCACCAACCAGCAGACCAGGCTGCCCAGAGCCACATCCAGCCTGGCCTTGAATGCCTGCAGGGATGGGGCATCCACAGCCTCCTTGGGCAACCTGTGCCAGTGCATCACCTCCCTCTGGGGGAAAAACTTCCTCCTAATATCTAACCTAAACCTCCCCTGTCTCACTTTAAAACCATTCTCCCTTGTCCCATCATTATCCACATGAGTGATCTCGCAGGGTTTTGGCCACATTGCCACAGTGCCAGCTACCTACCTAGCACATCCTCAGTTCCCAGTTCACTACCATCATTGTGACCTATTCCATCCCAAACTCTGTCCCCCACACTGCTATACAAGGGGATTCCTAGATCAGTTCTTTACCTATGCCAAAGCTCCAGTTCACCATGTCTGGATGCACGAGCAAGCTGAAGGCCAACCCAGAAGCAGCTTCACGGACCTTGTCCCCCAGCAGTGCAAAATCCTTCAGTACAGCCTGCAGACAAGTGAGCAGAGCAGAGGAGTGAAAAAGAGCAAAGGTCACAAGGCTAATATGCAATCTCTTCCCCTTTTCTGAGCTGAGCAAGTGCAGGCCATTTGCAGGACCGCAGCCAGAGGTCCTTCTGACGCCGTCGTTGGTGTGAGTTGCAATGGTAGCTGAGCCGTGTGTGTGAAGCCACGCTCGTATCATTGGCATAAGAAACCTCCAGCTTTTATTTGCAAATCATTCTCCTTCCTTCTCATCTAGCTCACTGCAACAGTACTGAGCGGGCTGGTGCTGATTTCCAGAGATGAGCCTTACAAATTATGATTCACAATTTCCCCTTAATAATAACGACAACTAACATTAACAGCCTTTACTTATAAAGTGCCCAAAGCCCCTGGATGTCAGAGGCAGACTGATCAGCCTGCAGTGCACCCCAGAGGAACCAGACAGCAAGCACAGGAAAAACAAATATTAAGAAGAAAAGTAAACAAATCACTCCCTTCTACGTGCGAGATAGCAGTTTCCTTTCCAGAGGAAATGAGCTGCAGTGATCACGCAGGGTCATACCACAGCATGCTCAGATTTGCTGCTCTCTCTTTTCTGTACTTCTGTACTTGGCTGAAGACGTATCAAGGTGAGAGGAAATGGAGCACCAGCCTGAAAGCAGAAGGAAAATGTCTTGACTGCAGGGCAGGACTGACAGCATGATGTATCCACAAGGGAGACGAAGGGCAGTTTGCGCTCAGCTTGCAGTTATGCCGCTCCCCAAACAGCTTAAGTTGAATATAGTCAATGAATATTAAGATGCTATCACTACAAAATAAACAAGAGAGTTTGGCAAAGCAGATTACGATAACAAAAAGAGAACGGATAGAAAGCTTACCCCTATCCTGGGCTCACTTACAAAACTGCAGCAGAGCAGATCTCCAAAAGAGATCCTTCCCCACTGGTAGCCAGCTCTTAAATAGGCCTTCCAGCAGCACAGCTGAATTGCCTTCACCTGTGCTCCTCTGGCTGACTCATGGCTTGCTTCAGGTGATCAATCAGAGGTTCAGGCCGTGACTCAGCTGTTCCCATGCAAGTTGTATGACATTTTTGCAATTGTGCATGAAAATGAGAGTGAAAATTCTCCCCTTCAGTGTATGACTGTTACAGGAGTCCCAAAGCTACAGAGACAAATCATTTTAGAGAAGTTTGACTACTTTTGCCTGACGGACTCAGTTAGACAAGCCTTAGTGCAGCAATGACAAACCCAGAAATACATCTCAAATGTGAACCTCAGCATTATCTGCCATAGCTGTTTCACAATGCTCTTTCTATTACAAACCCATTTATCACATGCCCAGGGCTCTCATTTGAGGAGCCACAGCAGGCAATTGCTGAAAATCCCAGACAGGGCAGGAAAACTGGGACTCAACCCCTGTGCTACCATTTCAACTCACGGGCTTCTTCCATTAATTCCTAATCAGTGCTGTGCAAGAGCTTGTAGACTTCAGCTGCACAGTGAAAGAAAAACTCAGAAAAGCAGAGTGCACACTGCCACAGAGAAAGGAACTTCTCTGGAGCCAAGATCCACCAGGTGGAGCCATCCACACAACCACTGAAGCACAAAGCTGGCTGCCAATAAGAAAATCTGACCTGGAGTAGCCCTGGAAAATTCTTTCACATTGCAATTCTGCCTGGAAAATGCTTCACGTGTTCTCAGCATTAGGCTGAGCTGGGTTCTGCTGCTGCAGCTGCAACCTTTGCTTTACTCTGCCCCTTCCAGCATAAGAGAATAAGATCTCTAATTAGAAGGCATCGTGTTTGGGTAGTAATAGGGCATGGGGGAATGGTTTTAAACTAAGGAGGTTTAGGTTAGATATTAGGAGGAAGTTTTTCCCACAGAGGGTGGTGAGGCACTGGCACAGGTTGCCCAAGGAGGCTGTGGATGCCCCATCCCTGCAGGCATTCAAGGCCAGGCTGGATGTGGCTCTGGGCAGCCTGGTCTGCTGGTTGGTGACCTGCACACAGCAGGGGGTTGGAACTAGATAGACATTGTGGTCCTTTTCAACCCAGGCCATTCTATGATTCTATGTTTATGCAAATATGAGGGTTTTTTGCAGTAGGAGTAATCAGATTGAGGGAATCACACCTAGGCCCCTATCCATACTAAATGACTGTTCAGCAGACATCAGTAATAACATTGCTATGGGATAATTGCAGAAAAAGAGCTTCAAGGCCCACAGCAAAAGATTTTTACCATGGTGCAAATTTGGTTGAGTTATCTGCTCCTGTGAGTCCACTCCAGATCTCCTTGTAAGATGCAAACAGAAGAACAAAAGATGTCAATACTTCACACGCAACCTGCTAATATGTTTCCTTTCATACTGGATTCAGTGTAATCTGGCAGGGCTGGGCTCCTTCCCATGGCTGACTGCATGGATGACAGAGCTGCCAATCTCTGCCTCTGTGCACAGGAATTAATTAGGCCAGCTACTTTCGTTAGCTCTCCAGAAGCATGTCACAAACTATGCCCCCTCCCACTTCAACCTGTAGCACTGTTCTTTCTGTAAGCACTGTGAAAGTAACCGAGCTGCTGCCCATACCCACCTGACTGTGGATCAGCAATCCATTGACAAGCAACAGTTGTGGCCAGGTTGGCCTTTCGCCTTGTCCATGGAGCTGCTGGTTTGAGTGTGACTCAACATTCAGCTGCAGGAATCCTGATCACTATCAGCTGTCAGCCAGCCACATTTACAGCAGGGTACAAATCTTTCTTCTCTGTGCTCCATTGACAACACAGAGGACATCCTAGAGAAGGCTGATCTCTTCCTGATCCCCTTCACAGTGCAAGTTAGAAGTGCTAGTGGGCTGGTTTAGATCACTGAGATGCAGGAATAGCATTTGTAGCACAGCTGGAAGAATTCTGTAGTAGCCTTGTTGGTGAGTGCATTGGATACACACATTGCTCACACAGCCTTTTGTCTGTTTGCTGATTTCTGTTGAAAATTAAGGCAGTTTCTAAACCATGAAGAGGTTCAAAGACAGTCAGGATGCACAGCTGAAGTACAGTCAGCATCAGCTTCACTCGCCAAAGTGAGGGAGCAAGAAGTAGCTGTTATTATTTGACCATAACATCTTACTGTTTGCAGCTGTGGGCAGCAGCTTGGTTCAGTTGTTCCTCACCCCTGAACAGCCTGCAGCTTTTCAGGCTACTTTTCAGTCCTCCAAAATGGAGGAATTTAAGTGCTGCTGATATGGAAAGGGAGAGTAAAAAGGGCAAATCAAAAAAATGGTCCCAATTCCCTAATGCTGATGGGAAACAAAACAAAACAAAACAAAAACCACTTAAGAGGGACAGCCACTAAACTAGATTCCTAAGTGTTTGGTTTATGTTTCCAGTTCCTGGATGACTTCTTTTGGATTTAGTTTGTTTCACTGTAAAGTTGAAATAATGCTCTCTTTTTTTTTTTTTTTGTGAAGTGCTACACAGGAGCTGAGGAAATATTATTAGGAAGTGAAATTGCAGCCTCACCCACTTGCACAGCTGTATGTACAAGGGGGAGCATGCAGGCAAGGAAATCTGTGAGTTACCATGTCCCCAGATCAATGCTGCTATCTCCCTAAAGCCCAGGAAGGCTGTTTGTGGATCAGTCCCAGGATCTGCCACAGAAGACACCAACAGCTTGTTATTAAGAAAAATTAGCCCATAGAAAGCTACTCAAAAGCTTAAAATTGAGGGATGTTCTGCAGTAGTGATGTTTGCTTTGGGGAAATCAAAGATTTTGCCCAAATATTCCTTTGAAAAAAAGGGGCCACACCAGACATATTCAAAATTGGCAATAAAGAGGATGTTTCCTTCCCAAGTGCGGGGCTTGCCAACTCAGCTGCACCACACAGGGAATGTACCTTCCCTTCCTGTATGAAGGAACAGGGGCTCAGTGAGACCCCTGAAGGGCAACCACTGCCTAGGGAATCCTGCATCTTTTGATTCTCAGTAGGAGACATCTCTGAGTAGGATTTCATGGCAGCTGCTTCCAAATTAATTAATTCTTACCCTTCTGTCCCAAATCCTCCACTGTAGGGATACATCCTTCTTCCACCCTCAGCCAGAGGCTTCAGCTGATCTGCTCTCTGCAGTGCTGGCCAGACCTTCACCTCAGATTCCACTGCTTTTCATAAATTGGTGTAGACATCAGACTGATGTCATGCACAGAACTGGATGGAGTCCACACGCACACAGGCACCTGCATTTAACCAGATGGGGTAATGGAGCAATCCAGCACAAGACCAGTGCCACAAGGCTATGGGCAATGCAGACAGACCTTCACCCATCAGTGGTGCTAATGCTAGAATATGGGGGAGGTGGATGCAAGGAAAAGTCAGTCTGAAGAGCCACATCAATAACCACATGCATTGGAATGGTTTTCACAACCTCAGGGATGCATACAAAGCTGATAAATAAGCCCCCGTTCTTCCAGCAAATAGAAGAAGATTCAAAAAATATAGCTCAAGGAAAGAAGCTCTTTTGTCATTTCTCATCCTGAGTGCAGTGAAGCTGTGGCAGTCTTTGATGTGAGACCTTACAGATACCATAAGATTGCATGGATTGCATGGTGACTGGAGAAATATTTGTAAAATAAATCCATTCAGCATTATAAGAATATGAAGACTGAATTTCTATCTCAGAAGTCTTTGAACTTGGATTCTTGGAAGCTGGGAAAGTATTCTGGGAAGTGTCTTGCCTGACTTTCTCTGGGCCGCTGTCAGGATAAAGGCGATGGAGTTAGATGAGGCATTTCGTCTGAGTCTCTGTGGTTGTTCTTACACCAAGGTTCAGTGCTGGATGGAAGAAGGCATAGACTCATAGAATGGTTGAAAAGGACCTTAAAGATCATCTAGTTCCAATCCCTGCTATGGGCTAATTGCCCCCCACCAGCTCAGGCTGCTCAAGGTTGGAGGTCTTGAGCATCTCCATGGATGGGGCACCCACAGCTCTGTGGGCAGCCTGTTCCAGGGCTTCATACTCCTCTCAATGAAAAATTTTCCCCTATGTAATCTAAATTTCTCCTCTTTTTGTTTAAAGCCATTCCCCCTTGTCCTACCACTAATAGACTGTGTAAAAAGCCAGTCTCTCTCCTGTTTAGAAGCTCCCTTTATGTACTGGAAGGCCACAATAAGGTCTCCCCAAACCCTTCTCCAAGCTAACCAAGCCCAGCTCCCTCCACCTGTCTTCACAGCAGAGGTCCTCCAACTCCCTGAGCATCTTTGTGGTCTCCCCTGAACCCCCTCCAGCATCTCTACATCCCTCTTGTGCTTGGGCCCCAGGCCTGGACACAGTGCTGCAGATGGGATGTCGCAAGGGCAGCATGATGTGTAGGTGATCAAGGTTAGGCTTAAAATCAGGGAGTGCAGGTCTGAGTGAGTCCTGCCTTTGATGTTTTCAGGGTCTGAATGTGCATTTGTTCTGGATGCAGAGCCCTCCACTTAGCAGCTTCAAACCACTTTCTGCAAATAGGCTAGTGACGTGCCAGCCCTGCCAGCAACCAGGGACCGGAGTTCTGTTTCATTCCTCAACCTCCTGATGGGCAACCTACTAGATGTGGCTGCTCTTTGCTCACTGCTGCCCTTTCCCACACACAGTGCAATATGCCTTCTGGCAGCTTGCTCCCTGTTCCCCAAGGAGCCAGGAGAGGGCTGGCCACAGACAAGAGAAGCTCTGAACGTACCCACATCACCGTTTGGCTGTGGAAGAAACCTTGCTATTTTTATCTTCTAGCAATGTCACTCAATTATTTCCCTTGCCTCTTCGTGGAAAGCCACAACACCAACGCAGCCCAATGAAGTAATTACATCATGCACCGTGTCTTCCAGCTTCCCCTTCTTCACAACCGGGGTGCTGCAAACACAGAAGTTTGGCCAGAATTAGGTTTGATTTTACT